ACTGCTTTGACTTTACAGGTCACTACAGCTGAAATCAATGCCATTTGCTAATCAATCAAAGGAGAAACAGCAAAAGATTTTACCTAAGAAAACCAAAATAATCCCAAGAATTTTGCTGTTCATTCTTCAAATAGCAGAGCCCTAATCACAAACCCTCCCTCAGTCACCAACTTGCAAAAGGAGGAGGGATTTCAAAGCCCGTTTTCTGGGGATGTACTCCTGTGCAGCTGGGTGCAGCGCGTGTTTCTAAGATGCAGCAGCTTTCCATTAGCCACATTTTTCCACGGAGCACTCACCTCATCCAGTACCTAATAACCGAGCTGTACTACTGGAAAAACGGTGTGTAACAGCTACAGCTCTAAAGAGAAATCTTGTGCCCCCTTGTCTTTCCCTCTCCTTCCTGACAGAGCAGGACACACCCACACACCTCTTTTCTTTGTACAGCCTAGAGGAAAAAAATATATATATATATATTGAAGTCATCAAAGTATGAATTTATGAAGTAACTGCTTCACTTATGTAAACTGCCAAGCCCCTATAGCTAGCAGAAAAAGCCTCACCAGCTTTTCACAGTGCAGTGCTACCATCCTGCAGTGCCAGCTTGCAAGCAGCACTGCACATCCTGAGCAGCAAAGTGAAATTGAAAAGAAACAACTCGGTTTGGCATTTACCCTTCGGCTCCCTGAGGCAGCAACAGTACTTAAAGAATAAAACTGTAATTTCTTGCTACCGGTTTTCAAGAAGCAGGTTCCAGAAATAGCTCAATAAAGAAGGCCGGGGTGACACACAAACACAAATATAAAGCTCCACCTGTAAAGCTGCAGAGGAAGAGAAAAGGACAGGCCTCTTCACTACTCTGGTGTGTATACATACCCAGAGGCTCTGTGATGGACAGGCTTCAGGTTTCAAAGCTCCCGAGATCAATGAATTGTTGATTTTCATACTAAAATCGTCCCCTTCAGCACTGTGCCTTGGCCGCCATCCTGCCATCTTCACACACGTCAAAAAAACCCAACTTTATTCCCTAGCTCTCATCTCTTTTAATGTCACTTGAGTCAGTTTTGCATACGAAGGCATCACATAAACCCAAGCCGGCTACAGTGCAGCAAAAACTCTTTAGGACAGGTATGACAGCGCAACGCTCCAGTGCCACGAGACTAACAGGAGTTTAACGTGGGACTTGCATCTCAACCCTTTATCTCAACACGTGAAGCAAAGAGAACTTTGAAGACAACACAGCTCAAGCAATACACTCTGCAAGACATCCCCAGCAACAAGGGGCACAGGAGGGTTTAAACGAGGGTGTTTGTCCTGACATGGCAGACGGAGAGCCCAAGAGCTGGAACACCCACAAGATTTTGTTCTTCTTTACATCCTGACAGCTCTTTAAGCATCTAAAAATGAAAGTACAAGAAAGCTTTGATATGGAGAAAACGGAGACCTACTGAAACTCCAGGGAAAAACAAAATAATCCCCCAGTCTTACTCTACATATTCTGTAGGTCATGTTGCATATTTAATATACTTCTCATCTCTGCCTTTGGCTGTATTAACTTTAAAGTACGAGGCAGAAACCCTCCTGATGAGTAACGGCCCTACGACAACTACAACGAAGTTTTAAAACCCCTGCCAGGTGTGGAAAGCAGAGTTTGCACCCACACACAACTTGCCAAAGCGGCTGGGAAGTTTTCGGGGGGGTCTTTTCTGTTGGATATATTTTATTTATATCCACTTCTTCCAGTGCACAGCTTGGACACCTCATCGCTCACTACTCCATGTTCCACTACGGGTAGCTGGTCAGAATACCTGGTGGGATGCACTAGAAGAGGTCCTCCCTCTGCTCCTCCGGGGCTGAACTCCACCCAAAACCACCCCGTAGCCCAGCGGGACCCCCTCCAGCTGCACCCACCGCGGAGCTCTAACTTCGCCCGAGGGCGCTTCCGAGCACCCGGCTCGCTGCGTCCCGCCGGGTGACAAGGGCAGCCGCAAGCTTCCCCCCTCGGAACTCCGCAACATCTGCCCGTGACGTTCTCTATTTACCGGAGGGGGAGCGGGGCGAGGCCAGCGGGGCTCCCCGGTCCGCCCCCCCCTCTCGGCACCGGGCTCGTTAGGAGCCGGCCGCCTGTCAACGGCGGGCAGCGCCGCTCCTCGGGGCTCCCTCCCCGCCGGCGCCGCTGGCGGAGTCCCCTGGAAACTTTGTGGGGAGCCCGGGGAACCGTCCCCCGCCTCGGGAGCGGCCGAACCGCGCTGCCCAGCGCCGGCAACTCCCGGGGGCTCCCCCGGCCGCCGCCGCCCTCACCCCCACGACGACCCGGCCTAAGCCAAACCGCCCCTTCCGCTGGCGCTGAGGGGAGATCTGCCCGCTCGCCCCCCTTTCCCCCGGGACCCGGCGGAAAGCGGCCGGGCGGGAGGCGAAGGGAGGACAGCTCCGCTCCCCGCCCCGCTCCGTCCCTCAGCCCCCGCTGCCGGCGGGGCGCCGCCGCCGCAGCCACCCCGGCCAGGCAGCGCCGCGGAGCCCCACGGAGCGCCGGCAGCGGCTCGCCTCGCCCCTCGGCGGCGGGGGAAGCACGGCCCCAGCGGCCCCGAGCGCGGCAGCGAGGGGCATCGTAGAAGGAATTGAAGCTGCGCTTTACCTTTAGTTCCGCACTGTCCGCCATCTTGCAACTCCGGGCGCAGGCGCAGTGAACCCCGCCGGGACACCGCCCCCCCGCCGCCCCCCCCGCCGGCACGCAGCGCGCAGCGTTTGAATCGGGGCGCCATTTTGTCCCTGCTCTGCGCTCCGCCGGGAGGGGGGTCTCTGGCAGGGAAGGCTCGGCGGGGTTCCCCACACAGGGCTCCGAGGAGCCGCGGCCCTTCAGCGGGGACGCTCCGAGTTCGCCTCCGGGGGGCAGCGCTTCGCTGCTGCCGCCCTGACGGGAAAGATTCCCCCCTGAGAGCGCCGTCCCGCCTGCTCCGCTGGCCGCTCCGTGAGGGCAGCTGCGCGCTGAGGGGGGAGCGGGCGGCGCTCCCGAGGCACGGCCGGTGAGGGGGCTCGAGCCCCTCCGCCGCGGGGCCGGGGCCTGCCTGGGATGGGGTCACCAGAGGGAGGAGGAGGAGGAGGACGCGCGTTCCTGTAGCCATAAGTTGATTAAAATTGCGATTTGCGCCTCCGCTTCCTGCTACTTGACACACTTTAAGGTGCTCCGGGAGTGGCACAGCGCGGGGGTCCCCTCGGCTCGGTGCCTGCTCTCCCGCTCCGCTGAGGCCGGCCGTAGGTGCCGGGCCCCGGCCCAGCCGCTGTGCACCCCAGGACAGACGGGGCAGCGACTTGCCTCGCTATCGGTACCGGTGTGAGCCGCAGCACCAGGCAGGCAATGATCGGTTTTATTTCCCTGAGCCTACTGCAGAGGAATTTGGGGGAATCAGTGTGAGGCTTCCCTCTTAGGAAAAGCAATGCAGGTGGTTTTAGGAAGGCCTACAGAAGAACGGAGCTTTTAGGTCAAAACTTCACCATGTCATATTATTTTTGAGTGATACGTGGATTCTTACAAGACCAGCCAATGCAGAAGGGAGAAATATACACTAAAAATGCTACCTGGCAAGGTGACTACGTCAGTGGTGATCGGTTTAAATACAAGCATTTGAGTCAGACACCTTAGCTTGATTCAGCTTCCTTTTACCTGTATGTTACTCAATAATGATACTTTCTCCACTTGACCTTTACTTAGTGCATAGGATGGAAAAAATCTGTTGAACACGGCCACTATTGTACATCCTTTTAAGTGGAAAAGACAAAATTTTTTGGTTTTTCACAGCTGCTTTAAAATTCATCATTGTGCATTCAGAAAGCACTTCAATTATCTGCATTGCAAGACAAAACCAGCATTAATATCTCTATGCTACAGATTAAAGAAAGCATGCTTGAGGCCACATAGGGAATCGGCGGTAAGAAGATTACCACTCATGATTACTGCTGAATTATAATGTACCCCATATGACCTGAATAGTTAGCCACAATTTAAAGTTAGGTAGTTTCTATTGAGAGAAGAATGTGATAGCGGTATCGAGTAGCTTTTTTCTGCCATTCTCCTTATTGGTAAGGCTGTATATGAAGTTCTGATTCATGAACAACAGAAAATAACCTATATCTCCCCCCAGATACTTCATTTCAAAGCATTCCACCCATAAACGTTCCCCAGCTTGGTCTCAAGACCAGACTGACAGAAAAGCCAGGAGCGTCTTTGGACTCCTCGCTCTGGTACCCCTCCTTCTTCTCCCAGGTCATCCTGCATCCCATTTCTGTTGCGGATACACCAAGTCTCCACTGTTCTCATTGATTTCTTTTACAGTTCTCAGCGTTCAGCATCAGCATATCAAATGAAGCATTCAGAAAATGAGCAATTAGAAAAGGCTGATAAGTAATACTCTGATACTTTGTCTTAATGCTGCATGTAATGAAGACTTATCAGTGTCTAAAATGCTGGTTTGGGGAGGGGGCAGGGAGCTAGGCAAGATAGCTAAAAAAAATAAGAGTCAGATGACTACCCAGTACACCCACATGTACCATAATTAGCTGATCTATTTCAGTGGTCTGAACCAGCCCAGTTTAGAACACTTCATTTTGAATTGAATATGGTTAATAATCATGATCTATGAGTTTGTGTCTCGTTTAAAGAATTTGTCAAAAAAAAAATCTATAGTTGAATAAAGACAAATCCTTTTTTACAATTACCTTTTTTTTCCCCCTTAAAGAGGCTTGCAGCACAGCAAACAGTTCTTCCTCTGCTTCTTCACTTCCTACCAAATTCAGTGGGATGTGGACATGTGCTTAAGTGCTTTGCTAAATCATGGCATAACACTATCAAACCTGACACATGGCCATAAACCACAGCGTCCTCTTTCAAAACTTGCTTTAAATAAAACGGGCTGGGGATGTCTTCAGATACATTAAAATAAGGAAGTGAACTAAAAGAGAGGATACAGAATATTCACTTGAAAATGGTTCACTCTAAATACTGTAAATGTTTTTACAAATAAAGCTAACAACAGGCCCTTTATTTTTCAGCTTGGACTGCTGCTAGTCACTTCTTTTTTAACGCAGTATATACTTTACCATGAAGAAGGAACTTAATGTGAAAAGCAATCTGTGCTTCTATTTTTAGCCAATTATTTACATGTAATGAAATTTTGTTCCTCTCTACTCCGGAGGCTTAGATGATGGTTTCTTTGCCAAGAAAAGACTTTGTCAACACACAGTCATTTTCAAAGGGGCTTTCAGTTGCTCCAGCTCTGCTGCAGCTCTGTCAGTGATGGCAACACTCAGATCTGTCACGATTCTGTCTTTGTTTCAAAAGGACGTGCTCATCAAGTAATGCAACTGGGGTGTAACCAGAGCAGGTAAGAGCACCTCCAAAACAGTCTTCTCATGGTCAGTCACCTCCATTCCCGAGCTAAAACCACAGTACTTTTTTCTTTTACCTTTGGGGGAGAGAGAGAAGAATAAAGATCAGTGTTTTCTTCAACCAAATTGTTGATATTTTCAATTCCCAGTTTTTAAAAGTTCATTTTCCCCTTTTTGCCATGTTACAGTGAAATAAATTACTTCCACAGTCTACCTTCCACCCTCCTTTCTTCCATTTCTTCTATTCTGTAACCTCCCCCAAAATGTATCAGATCACATAATTCACTTGCTTAAAAACATTTTCAGACACAATAACACTTTTAAAACAGATATGCATTTTTTTTGTACTACATGTTGTTCTCATTAGTCCGAGTCTCCAAGACTTCTCCCTCTTTGCCTAATAGTCTAAACTTACTATTCTCAAATGTAAGGAGGGGGAAGGAGTATAATATAACTTAGTTAACAATAGATTTGCAATGACCCTATTTCCTGCTAGAAAAACATGGCCAGGCCGTTCAAACTATCTTTTATTCCTGGAGGCATAAAGATCATTTAGATGTGTCACTGAAACAGACTTTTCTGGTGGAAAAAAAAAAGAACAAACCAGAAGTCATTCAGGTACATTTTAGTGAAAAGGGCTTGGCTATACGTGAAGAAAATGGAGCAGCAGTACATCAGATAAAGTCAGTCCATCCTTCGTAAGCAACATATGCGGCATTGCGCAATATGCGGCATGGTAAGTTCAGCGACATTGAGCTACTGGGACTTGGCTGGTACACACACCTCCCCTTAAATTCACATCCTAGTGCACTATTGTATTCAAGTGTATTATACCCTATTATGTTACCATAATCTCTCAAGTTGGGCCCAAAATAAGGGCTGCTACCTACTTAGAAAAGGAAGATTGACAGCATCTTTGCTGCATGTGGTGTTAAACTTTACAGAGGGGGAGTTAATCACCTGAAATCCTAAATCAGGGAAATACAGGATCATTTTGTTGATGTCATGTCTTTTATATCCTTAGATCTCCTGGTATAACAATGATATCGCAATATGGAAGGCATATGTAAATGGGTTACTATAATCTTTAATTACATATGCAGTGTTACGGCGTGACACATCCCAGCTTCATTTGCGTATTTCCTGTTCTTTCAGTTCTTTCTTCTCAACTTGCCTTTCTGCTTACACTTTACAGCACTCAGTACTCAAAGCCTACCATGGCCATGGTACTGACTCTTCCCCATTGCAATATTTGCAAATCTTTTAGAATTTAATTGCACTCCTTGTGCAATTTGACCACCCTGTATATTGTGTTCCCCGCCTGGAATGAGGCATTCCAAGTCAAGCTCAGTTCTCCTATGTACTTGAGTGCTATACAAAGCATTGCAGCTGCAAGACAATAGTAACAGGCACAACAATTAGCCCATTCTTTAACACTATTTGCTTAACCTTTTCTGCTGCAGCACCAATGGATGATATGTGCTTGCTCATAGCACTCTCCTAATGTTCTGAAGGCCTGTCCTTTGTAATTAAGCTATTTATTTGTACAGAGGCAAATGAAGTATCAATTGTATCGAATGGAGACTACATTTTTAAGGTGAGGATGAACAGAAGGTCTTCCTGCCTGTTTTTACTGCCACGGCTGCTGACCGTGACGCACAGAACCTACAGATCACAGCGACCTTTTCCATTCTGCCCAGTGCCTTTCATGTATTGCACCTTTACAGAGCAAGGAAAGTGCCTGGATTACCTCCAAAGCAGCCACAGAGGCACCATGGAAAATGCCTTGTTTAGTTTTATACGTAACAACAGCCGCCTCAACAGCAAAACTCATGCTAGAGGAGTTTTATGTCATAGGGGGCTGCTTTCTCTACTGCATTGAGGCATACATGTTAAAGACAGCCCAAGCTAGGAAGGTATCAGCCTCCTACTGGCATTGCAGCATTTAGTTTAACTTACCTAAATTAAACTTCTGTAACTTTTACCTCAGGTAAACTCCCACAGTTGCACAGATCTAGTTCTGTATGTACTACCGTTCACTTTTCTCTGAGCTTGTATTTGAATTATTCTACTTTTTCTTTTAAAGTGAGATTTTTTTCCCTTTAAGAAGAAATGGTCATTCCCGAGATATTCATCTGCACTTGTAAAAGCATTTCCTTTGGCTGAGCTGAATCCAGATTTTTCTGTCAACAAAATTCCATTTTGCTGAATCACAATTGGAATTTTTTGTCATTAGCACCCATTTTCACAATGTGTGGACACAGCAGGAGAGGAAAGTAAAAAGCGACTGCAACAGGTCATCACCAATCCATACACAGTTCTGTATCAAACTAACACCTAGAGTGTCAGATGCTTCAGCTTGAAATTGGCCAAGAACTATTCAAACCTGAGGACAGAAAACCCAGAAAGCTGCATCTATTTCCCAAACACCTTCAGCAAGGTGAGGCAGACTTTTAATTAAGCTGTACAGACTTGCAGCATCAGCAAAACCAGGTTTTAACTGTGACAAACTCGTTCATTCCAATTAAAAGTGATTTTATGCAAGACTGCAAAGTCCCAGTGCTTAAGTTACCTTCCACAGATACTAAATAATTTCTAATAAGCAAAGTTCTGTGGGAAAATGGTAAGAATCAAGGTCCTAAATTTTCCAGAACTTTGAGGGTAAATCCTTGTTCTGATGTTTCATGTTACTTCCCCCTTTCCTGTACTCACACAATACATGTAAAATACTGAAATTTTCATATAATCCTCATTTATAACAATTTTCCATGGGGCATCAGTCACAGAGTGGTCTAGAAAAAGACAAAGACCTGTTACAATTTGAGTCTCTTTCCTCTTTCCTGTCCTACAGCTTCCATTATGGACCACACAGAGAAGCAACATAGAAGGAAAGGAGTAGATTATTACCTGTAGAAGTAATTAATGTAGGCAGTATAGGAGTAAATCATGCTTATCTTCTGCTTTTCTTTAGCTCTCATCTTGCCTGAAGTGGTTCAGAGCAGAGGTGGATAAAATGCTGAATGAAAAGCCAGTAGCTAGGCTGCACCTGCTGGCACAGAGACAGTATCTGGTATGAAGCACTCACATCTTTATTCTGTACCTAATCACTATTTCTAAAGAACCACTTTAGTCCTGGGAACATTGTAAATAAAGCTGAGTTCCAGTAGCAAGTGGAGTTCAGTTTAGATGGCTCATCTGAAAACAACAGGGCTAATTATACTGTAGCAATTACCTGAAAATTATATGTATGTTGTTTTTCTGCCTGTCAATACTGCTATTTTCAAACTTCGCATGGTTCTCATGGGTTGCTGCAGCAATGCTGTCCCCAAACGGCCTTCTGCTCTCACCATTAACTCAGCCTTGGGTTTGGGGAGAGTGGTTTAGAAGTTTCAGCTGCAGCATGTGCTAGTTAGCTCACACCTTTCACGCTCACCTGCGCTCTCCACCACAATATAGCCTCACCTGCACTGTGCTTGAGAAAATTCTTTCATTTTAATAGCCTTTCGAGTATGGATTATGAGATTCTGACTCTATAATAGGACTACTAAACCAGCATCAAATGAAGATTTACTCTTGCACATTAAGAGATACTTAAAATTCACCCTATCCTGCTCAATAAGATCAATAAATGTCATAATTCTGATTTTGGAGAGTTTTATTTCCTCAATACCAGCATGGCTATCACCTGTTTTTCATTGTTTCTTTTAAGAGCAACCAATAAAAGCACCTAAGACAGCAGGCAAGTGCCACACAGGTGAGTGTTGCACCCCACTCCCAAGACGGGAATGCTGTCTAGCAACAAGAACAGGAGAAAGGGAGTCAGGAATTTTTGGATCAGCTCCAAATAGATTCCTGCCATATTACCTGATTTTGACCAAGTAATGGGATAAAATACACTTGGAATGACTCCTTTGTGAAACGGGGATGATGATGATAATAATAGCTATCTCCCTGGACTGTTGAGAGGAAAATAACATTTGGAAAGCACTTTGAGATTCTTGGATGAAAGGTAATGGAGCTGGAATGTTTGCAACATTAAAATAAGTTGGAATAATGTTAATATTTATTGCAGACAGTGCTTTCATCTTCAAAGCTCTTTAACATCAATGAATTAACAAAGAAAATATTAATAAAGATCATATTTATCATTGAAACTATTTTCCCAAAGCATTTATAAATTGATCTGCCTCCAGTTAAAAACTACTATTCAAAAAAAACTAAGGACCAGCTCCAGTATCATGCACTAAATCCCTAGTGGTCCTGTCCATAGCAAACCTACTTTGAACTAGGAATTGTTAGTTTATACTAATGAGGATAATTGGACCCTAAGCCAGTAGCACTGACGTTACTGGGAGGGTATCACCCACTACCAGGGATGGAAAAATCAAGGCAGCAAAGGAAGAAGGAAGAGCAGTGGTTAGAAAACACCTCTGCTTTCCCAGAGAGTCCATGCCAAGCTGTAGTGAGCTGGAGGTGGCGTTTCTCTCTGCAAGAGGGTACTGGTTTTAAGCAGGTTGTTGTGTCTCTGTAATAAGCTACAGAGAACTGAGACACACACTGTGCCACCAGGAGAGATATGCAGCAGCTCTAGATATTTCTCAGGTAACACATAGAATTTAGAGCATCCCAGACTGTTATCCAAAGGAATTGCACACTTTAAGTATATTCTTACTGGCACAGCTGCAACTATCACATTATCACTGGGAAGCACAGCCCAGCAATTTACTGAAAACCAGTAAATGAGACCGTCCTTTCCAAGCGCATTATCTGCATTGATTTTGAACGACTGCTTAAAGAACAGCAAGGGACCTTTCCCTCTGTGTTTGCTTTACCAGCCACCTTCCCCACTGCAGTCTCTTCAGCTGTAGAGATAAATGAAACCAGAGAAAACCCATTCTGTTGTTATTTCTCCCTACATACACCCCTTTTATTTTGAATTCAACATGTTTCCATAGGTCTCCTGCACTACAGCAAACGCAGCGAGTCGCTGGCACTCTCTGCTCATGGACTCGGATACATTCCAGAGCACAATGGGCTATAATAGATTTTTCTTCCTTTGAATCTGTGGTGTGCTTCATAGACTCTGGAGGTCATTTCAGGCAGCCCATCAATGTTCAATATCAATATTTCTGTTCAGTGTGTTCTCTGCCCACCAATCTGCAATGTGCACTCGCCAGATGTGCGTGCCACAAAACCAAAGCATTCCTCTCGTTTCTCCAGACTTGCTGTGAAAAAAACACCCCAAACCCAAACCCTCCACATTATCTGTGAAGTGTTTTGTAGCCCAGTCTTGTCAAGACTGGTGCTATTTCTTCAGAGTTGGCTGAAGGCTTTGCAAAGTTATTCACAGATTAAACTGTCCCGGTTAATCTGCTATACAATGGCGTCCAGGCAGAGCTTCAAATATGTTTGGGTTTGGATAGAAATCAAACGTTACCTTTGGGAAATATGCTTATTCTTAACATTAGACATAGCTTTTGGGTTACTTCCAATAACTTTGTTGAATTATAGGGAGTTTGTTATTGGGTTTTCTTTGTGCCCTGTATTTATGTGTCACGGCTGGACAGACACTGTTTTGTAGCATTTACAGTTCCTAGTGCTCTCAGTGCTATCAGGGAGATTTGCAGGCATTCATTATTCCACCTAACACCTAGCACATGGCCAGGATCCAGTTAGGAGCATACCACCACTCTGATGTGGGCTCATGAGGGTGGCACAGGTTGCATTTTGTAGGCTAGGAAAAAAACCATGGGAGCAGGAGACAGTAGTTCTATTAACAAATATGCCATAGCTGCAGAAAGTGTTTTACTGACAGGCAAGACTGACGTCCAGACAAACAACCAAGGTCTTTTTCTCACCATGTGATCTTTTCATAATCCTCCATTTCTCTCCTAGATCAACAGGTTCCTCTTTATTTGTCATTGTCAGCTCTTAGCACAAAGAGCCTTTTGTCCGTAGCTCTGACCCAAACACACAAGACTATTTTGTGTCCATTCTTGGCCATATGCTTTCAAACGGACTAATGGGTTTCCAAGCTATAAAGCAGAACCTTGACCCCGCAAGGGGAGATGGTTGTGTGACAACATCTCTCTGTTTTGACATCATAATTTATCCCTGTTTCAGCACAACCCAGCAAAAACTCTTGAGCCCAATCTGCTCCAGAGCTCTGCTATGGATACCGATGCTGAAATTGCAGCAGCAGCAGCGTCTGACGCGAAGGCTCAGAGCAGGAAAGACCTGAGCCAGTCAATAGCTGCCTCTTTATGTCCTCTTCTAGTTCAGGATCAGTGGTGTGATGAAGCTATCACGCCTCCTTTGTAAGGCAGCACATGTTGCAGCAGCAATCACACTAGCCATAAAGCCCAGAGGATTCAGAGCCCTGCCACAGTTTCCTTCTGCTCTGTTATTTCAGGTCCCATAACGGATGCATTGCTGCACCCGTGGATGTCACTCTAAAAATGCATTACCAAGGGAGGAACAGACAAACAAGAAAGAGTTACTTATTTGCCCCATTTCTCAGATTGCTGGACTACATCACATTGCACTCAGCCTGCCTGATTAAGAAGGGTAGAAAAAGCGACTGATGGCTTGTATGAACCTTGCTAGTGATACTCTGCATTTAACACAGTACAAAAAGAGTTCATACCCTTTAATTGGCACTCGCTCTGAACCATCATAGAAACCCTTTTGTTTTCCAGTGGAAATAGCTCTAAAGCCAAATTCCTACCTGTCTGTTTCAGGGTGTGTCTTTGCCACATCACATAACATGGGTTTGCTCAAGGTAAAACCTGGAGCTTCAAGGATGGCTTCTTAAGAGACACGATGGGGAATGCTGAGGAGAAGGGGGAACCTGGCCCTGATTTTATTTTTCCTCATTTCACTTCTTTCAAAGATCTGTATTTGATGCATCTGCTTTTCAGAGACTGGTGTCTGTGTCTATGTGTGACCCATTTCGTTTAGCAGCCACTTTCCCATGTGTTTAACAGAGCTTGTGGGTTTCCACCATTTGCTGGTGCTCCAGATGAGGGAGGAGAAGGAAAAGAGCTTCTTATCTCCCCCTTCAGCCCTTATCTGAGCCTGCCAGCTGGGTCATGCTAGGGTGGTGGCAAGGGGGAGGATGGACAACATCTATGGGGAGATGAGCACAAGGCTTATCTACGCATAAGGGAAGGGGGAAACCTGCACACCCCAAAGCACCGCTGATGTTAATAGCTGCTCCAGACCCAGGTTTGAGGGGCAAAGAGAGCAGCATTATGTGGCCTAGAACTGCCATCACCTGCACAGCCAACACCAGCGAGTCCTGCAAGTGGAGGAGCCCACCATCATGTTCTTAAATGAAGCATCAGCACATACAGAAACCAACCCAAGGCACTTTGTTTGCTGGAGTACAGCCTCAGGGGGTCAAGCCCAAGACTAACAGCATTATACCATGGCTGTCTGACAGGCTGGGGAGCAACAAAGACCAGCCTGTGCTCAGCCATCCTCAGAAGGGCAGAACAGAGGTTTGCATCAGCAGGGCAATCTCTCCAAAGCCCCTGGGTGGGAATTTTCCCTTCCCAATACTACTGATCAACCTGAACATACAGCACGAGCTCCCTCCAAAACCTGGCTTCAACGCTGTGATGCGAGTTACTTTGGGTTACCCAAGATGGAGCCACCGTCTCCCAGTTACACAAACAGATCTTCAGGGATTTGCAGAGCATTTAAACCAAAATCTCAACCAGAAATGCGATGACAGAATTCCTCTCAGAAGCCCTGTTACGTGCAAGTGAACACCAAAGCTTTTAATTTAGCTAAAAGATCTCTCTGCAAAGAGAGCGATGTACAATTTGTTCAGGACTAGTTGACAGATGGGAAAATTAAGTCCTCTGTTATTGTTCCATTTGCTGGATGCAAAAGAAATACTTCACACCTACAGAGGGCTTGGAGAATGGGAAGAGCTACAGAAATACCAGCTCTCCAGACAAAACGTACAGATGAAAGTGTCCGGGTCTGATCCTGGAAGATGCTCCACGCTTTCAGCTCGTCTGGAAATCAGCCTTTTCCTTAGCATTCCTCGGTGATTTTCCTGTGGTAAAGCAAAGGAATAAACGGGTTAATTTAGTATGAGACCTAAAAAATCAGAGTTACACAAGATCCTTTCAGTCTGACGTCCCCACCCTGCAAACTCTTTCAAAACAGTAAGTTCTCTTTTTCAGTTGAAATTTCCTTGTTTTTTTTAGAAGCTGGAAGCCTTTCACTGCAAGGTCTTTCTTTTCTCTACTAATAAAAATAGGCTATTAATACCATTTTGCCCTTTTTCATTGAAGCTACTGCGCAGTTTTCTTCCATCTGGGAGCCAAAACTATACCAAGAAATAACTGGCACCTCTTAGCCAAATTGCTCAGAGAGGACCAAGCAGTTGGCCCCGCGCTCACATCTGGGCTCTCTCAGACAATGAATAATGAATTAATGGGACATTATGGAGCAGACTTGAGGCCAAATTCAGTTCTGGGAAGTGCAGTTATTGCAGAGCTGTCGCACCAGCCATGGTCCCATATGCCAACCAAGGCCAGGGCTTGAGCTGACATAGAAATCGACTGTGTAAGAGGCCAATAGGGATTAAGCAAATACACTAAGACAGAGAACACGCAGCCCACAGGAATATCCAATTTCTTCTTCCACACAGCAGCAGCACAGCATTGCCCCTCAGTTTAAAGCCCCAGGTCTGGTTTGAGGTGCTGAGCTGTGGAGCGCCTGTGTTGAGGACACCATGTATCACAACAAGCAGGAGTAAACTGTTGGGGTTTAATTGGAGCCTGTTCCTCTTTATCAGCTGGAGGAGCAACAGAGCCTTCTCTGGTTGCAGATTCTGCTTTGATTACAAGCCTGGTAACAGCAGCTTCACAAAGGGATAGGAAAAGCCTATCCAACACCCAAGACCTTTCCTGTGGAGCACAGCAAACCCATCTCCCATGTGGAAAATTCCAGGGGTGCTGAAAGGCTGGAGACAACAGCCAGGCACCTGCCTAGTTATTCCCTTGCACAGGTCCTCATGCATTTGCAGTTCTTTTTGGGCATCCCTTTGCTGAAGCGATGGTCCTAGGAAGACAATTGAGTACTTTGTTGTTAGCCAGGATGCTGATTTACCATTGTTCCCTTGGGACGCACCTCGGGACCACGGTTTGCCTGCCTGGCTTACAAGAAGAGCCTCACTGAAAGCAAGAGTCAGTTGAGCCGAGCTTGACCCTCCATCCCCTTTGCTCCCTGTCCCGAGTTACCAGGCACTTGCAGATGTCTGTAGGAAAAAAACCTGTTTGCACCTTTAGCCTTTTTACTGCTCTTTCTAATATTTCTTTGCCTGTGAACGTTTCTGAGGGGAAAAGAAATCCCGATGTAAATCAAGCCCATTGTTTTCACTGAACTGTACTACGGGACTTCAGAACGTGGTTGTGATTTGCCACATCTGTTATTTTTATGCATTGTTTTTGTGCCAAGAGCTTTATAAAAGGTGTTCTACAACCACATCGTATCACATAATCCATGCTTCCACAATCAGGAGCCCACGTGAGCCTTTAAGGAGCAATCTCACCAAGTGTTTCTATACATCTTTTAGCCCAGCCAGGCTGAGATAGGAAGATGAACTATGGCTGGGGTTTCCTCCTTTCTCCTGCAGCCTCCACTGTTTGCTGATGGCCGCGTTCATCTGTGATCCACGGTGGATCACTCTGCATTTGCATTCGGAAAGCAAACATATTGCTTGAATCCTGTGCACTGTGTAACTGAACAAGCAGAGGTTTATCCCCTGGTTGCATATAACAGGATCATCTCTTGTCAAGACTCTAATGGGTTCATTGCTTTCCAAATATTGATAGATGAGCATTTATCACATGAAAAGTAAAATACATTTGCCCTGAAAGCTGTGGATGGACAGTTGAATCGAAGGCTGGGAAAACAAGAGTGGAAAGCTATTTAAATGAAGACCCACATTCTTCCCTGTGAGCTGCCTGATCTTTAAGAGCTCTTCCAACCCAAACCAGTCTATGATTCTAGTAACAAACAAGGAGGGATCCTAGGGAACCACAGCATCTTCTGCAAAGACCACTTGTGGAACACTTTTGGAGCACCTCAAAGAGGTTTGCAGACATGGGGTGCCATCCAGGCAGGCAGGGTTCAGTACAGAGCCTGCTGCCACTCTGGATGCTCACTCAGCAAGGCAGCTTCAGCTCCATTGCCCCTTTTCCTCCCCACCTTCCCCTGGGATGAACAACAGTAACCAATGGTTCACCATTAAAACAAGCCAGAAACATCTGCAAGCCTGAAGAGATGCTATTTCTGGAAGAATCCTCCAAAGGAGACTCTTCCACCTGCAAGGAGGGACCAGGAGTTTGGATGTGATGGAGCTCTGCTGCGGAAAGGCCAGGTTTATTGGGACACACTCCACAGCTCTGCTATAGGTGAGGCTCTGAGAACTTTGGAAATTTCCAGCCTGGCATTGCTTTAAGTGAAAAGCTCCATCTTGCTCTCCTGGGTCAGATATCCTGCATGCAGTTTCTAATTTGGACCACAGCTCTGGAAAACTTGATTAGAGCTGTGAAAACAGAATTTTTATTAGGGAGAACTGAGCTCTTGCCAAGGGTTATTTTTCAAGGGAGCAGGACCTAATCCTAGAAGTAGTTCCAGGGCTGTGCTATTCTGGATGCCCTTGCAATGGTTTATGGCAGTTATGCAGCCAAACCTGGACTGACTGGTAATGTTTGCTTTGGACAAGCTGCCACAGATGGCAACCAACTGCAGATGTACTTCTCAACCTGGTGCAGGCATCACTGAAAATACAGCTTCTCTTTTTCTGCCCCTCACTTTTCTTCTTAGTTTCCTTTTTACACAATTAATATGTGTATGTATATTCCTAAATACACACTGCCAAAAAACAACCAAGCATTTAAAAGCACGCAGAGAATAAAGTCACATACCTGCGCTCGGACAGAAGCCTGTTAGATGTAATCACCAGACAGACAAATCTCTTTGCCAGCTTTCAAAGCTAAAAGTTCTGAAGAGTCAAATATAGGCCCCTTCTTTAGGTGGATGTTTCCCAGGGAACAGTACATCAGTTTCCCCAAGGGAACCCACAAAGTCTGTGGCGTGCACTGACCCTCTGGAGGGGGCTTTACCTCCATACAGCAAGCAGTAACTGGACTGAACTGAGCCATAAATCCAGGAATGCATGGGAAAAGAGCAAATTAAAACGTGCTATACTTGGCAGGTTCCTTTGCGAGCACAGTGCTTGTGAAAGGTGACATTAACAGCCCCAGCAGCTGAAGGCTGCTCTTTCTTCCACAGCTGGGGTAGCACAAGCAAGAGCAGCAAAAGCTTCCCGAAACAGTGCTCCCATCCTCTCCCAAAAGGGCTTTGCCTTGGGTGAGAGCTCCTGCAGCATCTCCTGCCCGGCACAACCACTCAGAGCTCACCACTGGCAATTCAGGATGTGTTTGGGATGAGGAAGCCACCACCAAGAGATGCCTGGGATGGGGCAAATCGGCTTTGGGGAGTCCAAGACTGTCTGTAGGACACTTGGGCTGGCAATGAGCAGAATGGGACCGATACCCCTGCAGGCTCTACATGCAAGGACTGTGCAATGCATCGTGCCCACTGCTCCCTTCCTACAGCACCAGCTAATTGCAACAGAAGTGTCTCTGGGCAGCCAGACTGCCTCAGTTCCCAAGAGCCCATCACCCCGTCCCTGCCTCTTACACAGGACGCACTGGAAAACATCCCTTCTCCAGCACAGGCACCAGTCCCGCTGCCCACCCCCTCCCCAGTTAACCCACCCGCATTTAGCAGCTTAATTCCTCCATGGGAAAAGAGTGAGAATTAATTTGTTAGTGTCAAATTCTAGCTTTGGATGTGCAGGCTCAGCTCTCCCGGACTTCAGTGGAAGCGCGGCCTTCCCGCAGGCAGCCTGGGCTCGGCGTGTGCGTAGCGTGCTTTGAAGCTGGGCTGGTGTTAGGAGGTGTGAAATACTCGAGAGAGGGGAGCTCACCCCTTCTCCCTGCTCCATCACCGTCAGGCAGCGGAGCGGAGCGGGAACAAGAGGCGCGATGCGGGAAGCCAGATCCCACAACTTCATTAAGAGTCAGAAAGGAGATCAAAGGAAGGAATTTTCAGCTTTCAGGAAGGAAGAAAAGGGGAAAAAAAAAAAAAGAAAAGAAGGGGGGGAAAATATGTTTTAAGTTTCCAAGAAACCCAGAGTTTGCTTTGTTACATGGAAATAAATAAGTGATTTCCTCGGCGAGGCAGAGCTACCCTGCTGCACGCCTTTCTCTCATCCACGCAGCACGGGAAGCCTTGTTTGCACCCAGACCTCCACCAGTTTGATTAAAGCCATACCCCTGGTGTGTGGGTGCACCAGGTTAGTGACACCCTGCTCCTTGTCCTGCCCACGCTTGTCCTTGGCATTCTTCAATAAAAACCGAAGGACGCCAGCCCTGCTCTTCACTGCACAAGTTAAACCTATGTAAGCAAAGCACCGAAGACAACAGCAGGAGGAACCTCCAGCCAGTCAAGGACCAGACACACACACACACACACACCTTGTCCCTAATCCCTTGCAGCCAGACAGGTCCCAAAATAGCTGGATTTTCCCCCTAAGAGAGAGCTTTTTGGGGTTGCCAAGGTGAGGCAGCCAGCAGCTCACCCAGTGCTTTGATCATATCTGCATGTTTCGGGTCCACTTCAGCCACCTGGATGGCTGTGGTGCCACTGGGCAGCATCCAAGAGACCACCCAGGGTCACTGTGGGGCCACTCTGGATCATCTCAGGAAGGTCACAGTGATGTTGATGGCTGGGAAAAAGCAGATAGGACACCCAGCTTCAGGCAGGGCAAAGAGAGGATCCAAAGTGGTGCAGAAGAGCTGGCCTCACCAGCATCACCTTTGGGAGGTGATGGAGCAAATGGTGCCAGAAAGCATTTCCAAGAGGCTAAGATGATGGCAACTGGGAACAGCCAGTGCCAGTTCCCCTGGTACAAGCCGTTCCTGATACTCTCTGCAATTAAAGGGCTGGCTCTGTGGATGAACAGAAAACAAGGGGGTTTATTTACCTTGACTGTAGCAAGGCTTTTGGCTCAGCTTCCCACAGCATCCTCAGAGCCAAACTGGTGAGATACGAACTGGGGAAGTGGACAAGCAGGAAACCTGACCACACTGCTCAAACACTGTGTTTGGGGTACAAAGTCCAGCAGGCAGGCAGGGAGCAGTGCCATCCCTCAGGATCAATACTGTCCCTATTAGCCACCAGGACGATGGGACAGAGCATTGGCAGATGATGCTGAACTGGGAGCAGCAGTTGATGCTGGGGAGGACAGGACTGCTGGTCAGAGACTGGCCAGGCTGGAGAAAGGACACTGTGAATGCAAACGCCATGAGAGCAGCTTCGCAGGAAGGGTCCCGATGGGCTGAGGTGTTTGGGGATGGAGCACACATTGCATGGGGGGATGTGGGGAGAGTGGCATTTGTCCAGCCAGGAGGGGAGGAGGCATAGGGAAGGTCTCACTACTGCCTGCAGATCCCAAATGGGATGGTGGAGAGAAGGCAGAGTCAGACCTCGGAGGAGCAGAGCAAGAGGTGATGGGCAACATGAGATAGATGATAGCAACCCTGAGTAGATGATAGGAAAACACTTACTCTTGTGATCGTGAGGGAGGTCAAGCACTGCAGGCAGACTGGTTTGGGCTGGAAGGGACCCGAATGCTCTATCAGTCTAAAGCCATTCCCCTTTGTCCTGACCCTACAGGCCCCTGTCAAAAGCCCCTCTCCACCTTTCTTCAGCTCTTCAAGCCTCAGCTAAACACAGCCCTGCGCAACCTGGTGTCAGCGGCCCTGATCTGAGCAGGGTTGCTCTAAAGCCACCCACAGACCTGCTGGTTTCCAGACCCACCTGGGCTCGGAGGTCACTGGAAAAGGGAAGATGTTTTCC